GGAATAGGGTCTATGGGTTAGGGTCGGTCTTGCGGGTTTGATTGGAATTACGCGCCTGGGATTATATGCCCGGGGTGGTGCTAGCCTTCGTCGGCTTTGGAGTAAAAGGAACATCTATAGTGGTTAGGTTGGTCCTACGGTTTTTGTAGACGCATAGATGTGTTGAGGTTTTAGCGTCCGGGGCTATGCGTCCCGGGTGTTGCTAGCCTTCTTGGCGTTTAAAGGAGCAAGTAATGCCATGGGGGAGGCGTTTATTTCGGCCAGCTTTGCAGTCTGTGGGGACCCCAACATAGACCCTAATATACTATAGTCCGTATTATGGGTAAAGTATAACCGTAATATGTACCCCATTGTAATTAATATAGTAGTGTCCATTTTCTTTTCTAGTATCCCAATATAGACCCAATATCCGTAAACCCTATACCTGATATAACCCCATTGTCGTAGTTTCCGTTGTCTTTTCCATTATCCCTATATAACCCCAAAACATGCCGGGTTTGGGGTTTGAGGCCACTACCTCAGTCACAGATGCAGGGATGCCGCCCTGGTTGAATCCAGTTCTTGCCCTTACAAGTGCCCGACGACTTTGAAGTCTAAACCCGACGCCCTAGGCCCTAAAGGTAGTAGTTCTCAACCCTGGAGCTACTGGGTATACACCTCTGAATCAGATAAATTAATACATTTGGTAGTCCAGAGAATTGTCTCCCCCTTTGTTAATCATCTTGCACTTCACCAAGAACATCCAAGGCAAGTAAAGATGTCTTACGTGATTCCCCCACAACCAGCTGGGGGTGATGATCACATGGAAAAACGGAATTGAGGTCATTGAGATCCCTGTAGATACTTCTATGGCACGCGTGGTTTCGGAGCTATATGAGGAACATTTATTTGGGTTCCAAGTCAGGGGAGGGCATTGCGATAGGATTCAGGTTTGCGGCTTTGCCTTTTGTGAATGTGTGCTTACCTGAACAGCTTTTGGGAGCCCAAACCTGGGATTACCAGATGGTTTTTGTCACCCTGGAAGTGGTATAACAGTTTTCCAGGCCAGCTCCGTATCGCACGGAATTCCTGCATATTCCTGCTGGCCAGAAGCTATAAACTTCTGACTCCCTTTGGAAAGCTTGAACCCATTAGTAGAGTCCTCAGCACACGTCAAACTATATAGCTACGCGGCAGGTAGCTTGCTCCAAAGACTTGCAGCGGAAATCAGTAAAACACCCAAAGATCCTAAGTACCCATATAGGGCATACTAACCCAAACCATATTAGTAGTCACTCCTAATATAGAAACCCTACTTTACACCAGATAGGTACTTAGGATCCTTTGGGACAGGGCAATCGAGGAGCCCGAACCTCCCCAAACTCCAACCCAAAGCGCTGGGACCTTTGCCAAGGTCAGCCAGAGCCATAATAATACAGTAGTTGTTGTTTTCCACATGTTCTGTTCCGTTCCCCTCTATGCCCCGATAAAATCCATAGATCATCCCTACAATGATGGGGGGGGTGGTTATGATTCTAAGTCGAGGCGGAACGAGAAGGAGGCTAAACTTGTACAACACAGCCTGAGCCTGAGCCAGATAGCCGTAAGTAGTTGGCCTATGGGGCTGGATACGCGGTTAAGGGTTTAGGGTTTAGGGTTTTGGGTTTAGGGTGGAGCCTCGCCAATTGTTAAATGGGTTGCTGTTAGTTATGGGTATAGGGTCATTATATAATGGGGTCTCCTTTTTATAGTCATTTGAATAGTCGGGCTCCTTAACAGCAGCCCTTTATGCGCATCTGCTGACAGACCTGGGATTGGAGACTTGATATTTGTAGGAGTTGTAAGGCTTCCAGATTAGGATCGGATCTTTTTCAGGCTTCTTTCGGGAGCGGTATGCTACTGGGACCTGATGTTCTCTTTTCGGCTGTTTAATAAAGTAATGAGTAATGGCCCCAAGGAGTCCCTCTAGCCATATGGCATATACCTGGGCCCCCAAAGTATGTAGCTCTACGGGCGCTCATTAGATCTTATATGCCTACATGGGTTCTATGGGGTCTTTTCCCAGAAGGTGTGCAAGTCTTGAGGTCGACACGCAAGTTACTGTTCTGGACCATGAGCTTGGGTTAATTTGCGTACATTTTGGGTTTAGGGGATACGGTTCAGACTATCGGGGTTATATTGGGACAATGGAATAGAAAATGGAAACTACCATATTATGATAGGAGGGTTGTTTCTGCGTGAGTATCTGGCAATCTCAAATCCTGCTCCTGCAGTTCCCCTCACCCAAACTAGCATGGAATTCTATGTGAATATGAACCTTCCCCGCGCAAAGACCGTAGAATTTGTGGATCGCTTCTGCAGATTCCACCAATGCTTGTTTGGGGGAGTAGAAGCATGTACCTTGAAAGACGCACGTCCTTCAACGCAGCATGCTGTTGAAGCCCTAAACTTTTGAGAGCAGGTGCAGGAAAGAACAATATGACAATATTCCTCAACCCTAAACTCTAAACCCAACATTGGAAACCAAGATTGGCTTTGGCATCTCTAAAGCCAACAGCTCTTGGCCCTTGGGTGTCCTGCTTGTTTTCTCGATACTCCTCACTCTGAAGTTGAGGGTCTTCTTGGAGGATCTTTGGCATCCTTCAGGCTTTGAATGGGGTTATATAGGGGTATAGGGGGGTATATTGGGTTTGGGGTTTATAGGGTTTAGGGGGTATGCAGGTGTTATTTAGGGGAGATATATAGGCTCCAGACTGGATACATCGCGAAACAGATCCCATGAAAGCTCGAATTTCCAACTGTAACAGTAGCCCGTGGATTTCGCCAGCACAAGTATGACCCCTTATCACATTCTCGACCTTAAGCCTAAACGCACCCTAAACCCTAGATTGATCCTCTTGAGCCCGTCTGTAATTACCGTAAGCAGCAGATTCCTAGACCCAGAACTCGGAAGACACCACCCCTCACCACTGCATTGAATAGACATCTTGAAAGCTTAAACCCTAAACCCTAAACCCTCAACCCCCCAAAAAAGCAGCACCACTGGTTAAGCGGACCCACATCGTAGGGCTTTTGGGCCCAAATACCATTACTGAGATAGTGTTTGCGCCCTAAAACTCTTTTATTTGGGTCCTTGGACCCTTATATAATCCCCATATATCCCAAGATATCCCCCTAGAACCCCTTTAAAGGAACCCTAGTATTTGGGTCCTTGGACCCTGAGGGTACCTTGCATAACCATCCCTAAACCCTAAACCCTAAACCAGTTTGAGCTGAGGCAAGGAAGTGCAGCACTTAGCCCACATCGGCGCCCCAATGTGGTGCCGACCCCTGCTTTTGGGTTTTTCGTCCCCCTTAAGTAGATAGAATATGGCTTTGGGTAAATCATAATAAGATCCCCATATGCCCCATATTCTATCTACTTAAGGGGGACTATAAGCCCTAAACCCTAAATAGTAGTTTCCATTTGCAATTCCATTATCCCAACATAACCCCCATATTGTATCTTTGTACTTAAAACCCTAAACTTTAAACCCTAAATAGTAGTTTCCATTTTCTTTTCCATTATCCCAACATAACCCCCATATTATATCTACTTAAGGGGGACTATACACGGTGGAGCCTGGGACTGCTGGACTTAGAAACCTTGTTCATCGACGGCGTAGTGTGTTGAGGAGACAGGGTTTATGGTCTTGGGGCTTCATGGTAGTTTCCCTGAATAGGGAGGGCTCCAATATAGACCCCAAAATATTATAATGCGGATTATAGGGACCCCCCAAAAAAGTATTGCAGATTTTGGGAAATCCCCATATCGAATTCGAGGAAGCTGGGACGGCAGAGGGAAAACTTTCCTTGCAGTCCGTAGGGGTTGGTATGGCTGGCTAAGAACCCTAAGGGTCCAAGGACCCAAATAATAGGGTTTTAATTAGGGCCCAAGTGCTATTAATATTCTGGCATTTGGCCCCTAAAACCCTGTTACTTGAGTCCTTTGACCCTATAGAATCCCCCTAATATCCTATATATCCCCCTATAACCCCTGTAAAGGAACCCGATTACTTGGGTCCTTGGGCCCTTAGGATAAGTCACAGGCTTGCAAAATCTAAAACGTCAAGGCAGGGGATGTAGGGGCCCACTCTAAGCCTACATAGGGTTTGGGGTTTAGGGTTTAGGGTCTACAGTACACTCCAAAGTATCTGGACCCCAAAGCTGTGTAGACTAATGATCTATTTGGCTGTACCAGATTCTATTTACCTGAAACCCATAGAATGTAGATCGAGACTCTTGGAGGAAGATCTAGAGGCAGCCCCTTTGCACTGCGTCATCTCATAACGGGGCCCTAGAAAGGGGTGTCCCAGGGGTGTCCCAAAAGAAGGTTACCAGTTCGGGGGTCCCAACAATAAGCAGTATAATTCCTTTGAATCTATAATATTGGGTGAAACTATTTCGGGAAAAGGACCAGAAGCCAAGGTATGTCTGTGGTCTACGGTGGTTTCCTGGTTTGTTGTTTATGTTCTGACTCTTGGAACCGAACCTCTCAACTCTAAACCCTGAACCCAAAGCCCTAAACCCCAAGCCCTAAACCTCAAACCCTAAGCTCAACCCCAGACCCTAAACCCCTTAGCCTGAAACATGAGCTCCTAAGCCTTGCCTTTATTCTCAACACAAGTCGCTACGAGAGGGTCTATATGAGCCATAGTCTGAACCTCTATAGGGGATTATATAGGGTTTGGGGTTTAGGATTTAGGGTTTAGGGTCTAAACTCCTTAAGCGGGTTATATAGGGGATTATACAGGGGAGTATGATAGGGGTAGTTCAGGGGATACTAGGAGTTTAGACTATAGCTCATATAGGGGCATATAAGAAGAGTGGAGGATCAACTGGAAAGGACATGGAAAATCAAACGGACCTGTACTATTAATATTATCATTAGCCCAAAGGCCTTAGATCTTAAGCTAGTTGCTTTGCGCGGATCCTTTTGGGGAGGGTGCAGAGTCGTGGCATGTATGCAAGCTCGGATGCAGGTCCCACTTTTGCCGTGGCGACCCATACGCGGACTTCAAGCGGGACACCCTTGGTGAACACTGCAGGGGTATAAGAGACTGCCTAAAATAAAGGGGTAACACCCTAACTTATGTCTCTCATCTTGCGATCGTCTCCAGCGCACGCAGTACACAAACTCTGTGAACGAACGGCAGCCCATGCAAATCAAATTGCAACTACACTGCCCAATGCCCAGGCTAGCTGATGAGCTGGTAAGCTCGTAGCCAGGCAAAACTAGGTTTGAAGAGTCAGAGGCTTTAAGGATGTCCGACATTTGCTAGGCAATAAGAGTTGAGAGATGTTATGAGAGGTTGTGGGGAACAAGCCTCGTGTTCGACAAGACCATACAAAGAAGTTGGGACAAGATCCTTAAGCTTGTCCTACCCGAATTTGCATTGCTTCTTGTTCTTGAGCAACCAAGATGTTTGTTCTGAGGAACATGAACTGTAGCAAGGAGGATGTGAGTGCAGATGCGACGGTGAATCCATGTTTTTTGTGCATTTCAGTGGTTGCTCACCCTACAGCTCAATAATATTAACTGATCAACTATCAGGTATCACTCCCTAGGAGGTACTGGCCATCATACCGCAAAACATCCACCTCTTTGACAGGGCCGACGTTTGGCTGCTTGGGTATGCGTCCAGAGTACAAAGGGACTCGTCTGGGAACCCCAAATAGGGAACCCCAAGAATATAGCAGGAATAGAATGGAATATAAGGACCCTAGTAGGTATATTCCTATTATATACCTACTATATTCTTGGGGTTCCCGGTTTGGGGTTCCCAGTAGAGTCCCTTTAGAGTATCCACGGATTCGGCTACTTACGACTGAGGCATAGAGGCCACCTTGACCCTTCCAAGCGCCTTATCCCAATCCTCACTTGAGTACTTTGTTATTTGGGGATACTGTGGTACCCAATAATGGAGAATCAAATGGAAAAGAAAATGCAAAATTAAATGGAAGCTTGGATTATATAGGGGTTATGTGATATTATAGCTCTAGAGTTTTTATTTGGGGATACTATGGTACCCAATAATGGAGAATAAAATGGAAAAGAACATACAAAATTAAATGGAAGCTTGGATTATATAGGGGTTGTATTATATTATAGCTCTAGAGTTTTTTTGGGGGGGGATGCTATGGTACCCGATATAGAGTAAGATTCCATCCTCCTTTTTTGGTTATAGTATTTTATATAAGGAACATAATTTTACTGGGTTTAACCACCAAAAAACATTCCTCACTTGACGCAAGCATGGGACAACTAATGTTTGTTCCTTTCTTGTTTTCATGTTTTCATTCCTCGGCTCTATGCCTGTGACACTCTCTGCCGAATCCCTTGCATCTATGTCCCGCATGGATTCTCCATGTGGGAAGCCTCCCCAATCATGTACACTTTGGATAAATGAATTCTGTCAGGACAAGCCGCTGCTACCGGGAAGGTGTGCCGCCTCAATATGAGGGCTCAAGATGTAAGGCTTGGGCTCAAAGAGTGGAAGGACTCTGTGGGACCCTAAACCCCTAAACCCTAAACCCGATGAAGTTGAAGGGTGAGGGTTCCAGTCTATAAACGATTGAGGCTGTGTGAGGACAAGGTTTAAGGCTTGTTTGTAGGGACTTTGGCTGGTTTGGGCTTTTTGGCTTATTGGCTTAGGGTTTAGCTTTTGTTCAGAGTTTAGGGTTTAGGCTTTATAGGGTCTGGGCTTTAGGCTTTAGGGTTGGCTCGGTAGGGTTGAGGATTTTGATAGGTATTGCCGGATCTCGCAAAACAGGCCTGAAGGGCTTGTAGCTGCATCGACGGTCATATTACGTCGGGCTGCTTTGCGAGGTTTCAAGTTAGGATCAAGGTCCTGACTGAATTTGAATAGGACATAGGATCAAATTCTGTCAGCACAATCTTCACCAAAGCCCGTAAACCCTAAACCCTGAACCCGGAACCCTAAACCCCAAACCCAGTCCTGTTCCCTTGTGGTAATGTGTGTCGAAGATGTCGTCTGCCAGATGGGAGCTTCAGCAGCCCCAAACACACGGTTTAGGTGTTATAGGGTGTAGGGGTTTAGGGGTTAGGGGGTTTAGGGTTGTAGGGTTTAGGGTTGTAGGGTTTAGGGTTTAGGGTTTAGGGGTTTAGGCGTGCAGGGGTTTATAGGGTTTAGGGTTTACTGATGTCAGGGAAGACCACTACAGCCAATGCCCATCAAGAATCTTGCAGTCGAGGGACGCTGCGCCCCGACTCATTTCACCTGGAAGCCCGGCACCCTAAATCCCTACAGCCCAAACCCTCACAGTGCAGCCCAAACCCAGAAAGCCTTATCCCTCACCCTATATTCCTAGAACCCTAAACCTCTGAATCCTAAACCCTAAGATTCGAAGTCCCTGTTTCAACTTCAGGCACGCTGCACCTGCAAGATCAGATGGCTTCCAATTCAGGTGGCGCATGCTGTTGTGTATTCCAAGTGGCCCATGTAATTATGTCGAGTATATACTTAAGGCGCAAAGTAGTTCGGAGTTCCGTCGGTTTCTCAGAGGCCTTCATCGGGTCGGCATTTTAGGGCTGCATTGCAAGCTCAGACAGCTCAAGGTTTAGGGTTCGAGCCTGCTTTAGTAGTGTTTCAGGAGGCAAGTAATGCCCACGGCATCTGGAACCAAGTTGGATGTGCTCTAAGTTGGATGATTCGGCGGGGGTATCTTTGAGAAGAAAGCAGCAGTTGTCGCGACGGGTGCTCAGACCCTAAACCCTAAGCCCAAACTTGAAAGCGCCATCCTTTCGGATTCAGCGAATTCTCCAAGAGGATACTTCAGGGTTTAGGGTTCAGAAAGGGTTAAGAACATTCTCCCCTTTGAATCCTCAAATATCTGTAGTACAATATGCTCCAAGTGCCAGTTCTAATTATTCAGGCGCGGTATTAAGGCTAGATTAGGCAACTTGAATGTGTGATACTCATACATGCGGGCTAAGGATACCGTGCCTCGCGTATGATGATACATATGCGTATAGAGGAAGCAATTGTGCACATATACTTGTTCGCACATGCGCATACACAGAAAGGCATACAGACATGCATATGGCAGCTTCCCAAAATGAGGGGACCCCCAATATA